GATATCCTAATCAATAGGCCTGACGGTGATCATCAAAAATACAAATCATAAACCCTAAGATGTTTCCCCAAAATCAAAATCAACAAGGGTACCCCAAACTAGAGTAACTGATGTTACTCCCCTTTCTAGTGTCCATTTATGAGTAATGAGCTTGATACGAGAATCAAAGATAAAGTTCTCTAGAAATGAAATGACCACGTATGTCACAAGCATGTCATGACGTATATGAATGCATGAATGTATGGCTATGCAAAAAACACATACAAGGTTCAAAGGTTTAACGTCACGAGCATGGAGTCAAAGGGTGAGAATCAACCCGCAAGGTATGTACTAAGGGTTTATCACCTGCCGAACAAGGTTATAAAAGGGTCCTAGAGTCTACATCTTTCCTTCCGATATTACCAACGTCCCAATTACTTAGTAATTAGTAATATTCGCAGGAAAAACTCGTCCGAGTGCAACATCGTGTGACAACTACTTCCGGATTACTCTGTCATAGTCTCTGCACTACATCTAAAAAGGCCAAGATGGGTTATGGGTTCTACGGATCTCAGCTTCTCTGGCTCCCAGGTCGAGAGCAACAATGTCTTCCCGATTACTCGGTAAACAAATACTATAGTCAAAGGGGCCTCCACTGATTAGGGGATCTCATGCCTCCTTTTTCGGGATTACTCCCTCAAAGTTAACATGACTATACTGCCCGTCCCATCTTAAGTGTACTTAGTTTGGGTATAGGACTTGTCCGTTGTAATCATCACTCAAAGAAACCACAAAATAACACATATAAGCAAACAAGAAGTAACAAAAACATATATAACAAATTAGGTTTAACCCACTTAGAAATTTTTTCTCTAGCAGAGTCGCCAAATCTGTAGCGGTGAAAATTGGAGATCAAGCTATTAATTAACTTGACTCGCAAATAAGCAAGAGTCGCCACCGCGCTTTATTATTTCTAAGGGAAAAGGAAAAAGTGCAAAATAAAACCCATAAATATGCAAAGTAAGTGCAATACTAAAAGTAAAGAAAAATACAACGCATTTGAAAGAGATCGAAGGTTTGGGGGTTGGTTATACAAAGGGAAGGTACTAGCATCCTATATATCTACAATATCCTATAGGAACCTTTTGAAATATCTATTTTTGGTTAAAATTGGTTTGCTTGCTAAATGAGTGTGGGGATGAGATATTGAAAATGCGACGACCTAGTGTCGAGGTTTTTGGCTTAAAAGAAGTGCGAGTTTTTTTAAAATTAGGGTTTAGAAGAGATTTGTTTTTAGATTAATAAAACTAAAAAAATATACAAAGGGGTTTTCGTACAAACGTATTAAATATATTCGATGACATGAAGTCAATGAATTCAATTTTTCCTTTGGAGTTAGACAAACAAAATATAAAGGCTAAATGAACGATAAAGGGAAATTAAATAACTAAATAATTAACAATAAAAAATTAAATAAAATAAAGAAAGACAAAATTATACTAATATATTTTTGGTACTTTTAAAAAGGGTAAGAAAGAAATAATTATAATCCTAATCTAATAGTTTTTTTTTTTGTATTTTTGTATAGATTTTTAAACGAAAATAAGGCAAAAGACTTAAAAAATAGAAATAAAAATAAAGTGAGAAAAGAGAAGATAAATGCTCAAGTGAGTAAAGAAAAAATGCATAAAATAAAGAAAATAAAATGCTATGGATGACATAAAAGTAAAGAGAAGAAAATATAAAGTGCGGAAATATAAATGATATTAAAGTAAAGTTAGTACAATATAAAGTTAATAATCTGATTTGGGATAAGCGTAACTTCATATGGAGCATAGAATGTATGTACCTATACATGTTAGAGAAATGACACTTTGAAGTTCATTCTCTTATACATGTAATACAATTAACAAACATGGGGGATCAAGACAAAGTCAAGGAAGATACATTATGACAAATTTATCATCAATCTCAAGTACCTTGAATGATCAAAGGACCATTTAGAGGTAGATTGGAAATGATGAAAATTCATCAAATATCTAATAAGCTTAGATGAACTAAAAAAAACTCAAATGTTTTCCAAATTGATCCAAATAAAAATAAAAATAAAAATGAAATAGATAAAGTAGAATAAGATGAAGTCTATAATAAAAATAGTATAAATGTCCTAACTTTCTCAATTTTTCATGAAATTAAACAAATGAATAATGAAAATTTATCTACTCAATCTCACGACCAAGGATCCATGCTCAAAATAAGTAAATAAATAATAAAAAATTATAGAGAAAAAAAATTAAACAACTATAAATCATTTTTGCTTTTTGAGGTTCAATAACACTTTTCAACTCTTGATTTTGAATCAATGGAGTTTCCTTACAAAAATGGTGATAACTATGGTATTAAGCAAATAAATAAAAAGTAAAAATGCAATAGAATTAAATAAAGAACAAGTATAATAGCATACTTATTCAATAAAAGGAAGAAATGACTTGAAAAAAAATGAGGAGAAAAAAAAGTTTTGACTTAATTTAGTGAAAGATTTATGGTATTGTTTCTTCAAATGAAAGAAAGAAATGTCTTATTTATATGGTGAATAAGATGGGAGTGTTGATGTGGCAATCCATGTGACTTTATAAGAATGGTTATTGGTCATTGATAAGTTCAAGTTGACAATCTATGTGAAGTGTGAAAATGATTATTGGCTATTGATAAGTACAAGTTGACAATCCATGTGAAGTGTTTGTACTACATTATAGTTGTCCAAACTTTTCTTTATTGACACAAAAAAACAAAAGCACAAAGTAGTAATAATAATAATAATAATAATAATAATAATAATAATAATAATAATAATAATAATAATAATAATAATAATAATAATAATAATAATAATAATAATAATAATAATAATAAAAACTAAAAGTGTTAGTAATAATAATAAATATAAAAATAGAAAATAAAAGAGACATTAAATTAACTATTTATGATTTTTTTCTTGAATTAAAATAAATAAAAATATAAGTGTAAATTAAAAGATACAAAATAAAATACATATAAAAAAGTAAAAGAACTTATATAAATTTTTCTAGATTTTTTTTAAAAATAAATGATACCAATATATAAATTTAAATTAATAAAAGAACATATTTTTGATAATTTTTACTAAAGAGATAAAAATAGTAAATAAAAAATAACATGATGCTAAGTATGTTTTTTGTGATTTTTTTAAATGGAAAAGAAATAATGAATAAAACACCATAAAAATCAAATTCCACTAAATTTATAAACGACTTCTAACGTTTCTATTTTTTCGTGGCTTTTCAAAGCATAATTAGTTTTTGACTTGTAAAGAGAAATTGTAGATGATGTCAAGGAGAATTATATGTAAAAAGAACCGCTCAAAAATGTCGAAATTTGAAAAAAATTATAAAATTTTGAAATCTAACTCAAGAATTGGCAAAAAAAAGTCAAACCACTCGTGAACATTTGTTATGCAATGATGCAAATGGAGGGTGGAATCTTAGGTCAAAAATTAGGGTATGATAGATGTTTACGGTCCGAAGAGGAACCAATGGTGATTGTTGCACTTGTATGATGTTGTTGCATACCATACATCATGTGTGTCGGTGATAGAAGTATGAACCTCGGTCCAAAGACGATTCGCTAATTTATAAGAGGGGATTAGTGACGAGTCGGGGTTTGAAGGGGAACAATTGGTGAGTAGACAAAATCAACAATACAAGCCTAATGTCCAAGATTTGTACCACATGCATTAAATTCGAGGTGTTGATTGTATTACACACATATTTGCATTGTGAATCGATTATTGTTGTTGTGAATAATTCATACATTAATGATTACTATGAATGATGATACCCATTCTATCTTTTGCACGACTAAAATATTTTAAGCGTATTCTCATCCATGTTTGCATGTTGTGGTGTTATGTACTCTCTTGGAGTACAAATAATCATGTAAAGGAGTAACTAATGTTTATGCTGGAGGATGGCGTTGAGGCCTCTTTATTTATTTAATTTTTTCCTGTATTGTTTAGTTTCGTTGAAGCTTTGATCAATAAAACGAGACATGAATATTTGCTAATTGTGTTATGTTTTTGAAGTTTGAGTTATTTAATTATATGAAGCACTTTATTTTATTGAGAAAATTGAATATGATTGACAATTGAATTTTGCTGCCTTTTCTTATTATGATGTCGTTGAAGATATATGTTGAGCATATGTAACACTGATATTGAGAAATGGTTATTTTATCTTTATAAATAAAGAGTCGGGGTTTTATGGTGTTACACTCGGCACTTAAACCGTTACAAACTGCTAGTGTTGTCGAAAACATCTTTAAGTAATCCAATCACATCTATCAAAAAGGTTAACATAACGAGTTTGTGACTTGATGTCGAAAATATGACTTAGTTATCTACCCTTTTCATTTTTATATATCGTATATCACACACTCATGTTGAAATTCTAAGCTAAAAATTGCAGGCTAACAACATCAAAGTTTTCCATAACGGGACATGAGAGTTTGAAACTTTCTTGACCAGTTCTTTCTCGTATAAAGAGATGAATGGTCTTTCTTGTAATGAGGGAACCCTCATGAAACTATCCATGTTGAAATTAGTGTGCCTTGGTCTAAAAAGAGTTGGCTTACTCGACTGACCTCATCATTCCCTTTTTGTAGATTTGTTTGAATGTTGGTGGAGACAGTTTCCCATGGTTGTTGAGGTTCTTCCTCGACATTCACCAAGATGATAAACTTTTCCTATTAGACAAATGCCCCTCCGTCCACCATATAAGAAACCAATAATTTGTTTTCTTTTTTCGTCATCAAAATGCTTCTCCTTTTTTCTTACTTGTGTTACTTCGCTTCTTTTTCTCGGTGGGCTATCATCCTTTGGCCTTCTCTTTGGATTTGTTTTTGTTTCGGTGGGAAAAGCTGGACAAATTTCCTTTTCTAATCAGATCTTTAATAACAACCTTTAGTTGAACACACTCCTTTGTGTTATGGTTGTTGCACCGATGAAAGTGACATTATCAAAACTTATCCACTCTGAGAGGTTCTCACATAGGCTTTGGTGTTTCGATCCTCAGTTTTCTAAACTCTACATTGGTGCACTCTTGCATGATGTGCTCCTCGAAGCGTTTAATGAAGTATAGTTTTGTACCTTAATGGTGGCGCTAATTTACCTTATCGGTTTGTTCGAGTTTCTTTTTTAACTTTGTCTTTTTTCTCGGCACCATGTCAGGTCTCCTCATTTCCTCTATTACTAGGTTTTACTGTTTCAAATATTCTTTCATATATTAGTTTGTTAGATGCTAATTATTACTCGTTATATATATATATATATATATATATATATATATATATATTTCTACCATGGCTAGCACACTGTCAAAGGTTTTAGGAGCTATGGTGCCAAAGCTTTCGAGAAATTTGGATCCCGGTTGAAAACCAAGCAAGAGTAGATTTTTATTCATCTCGTCATCAGGACCTTTTACCAATATTCCTTCCTCGTTGAACCTTTCAGTATCAAATTGAACCTTTCAATGTCTTGTCTTTCTCTTGTATAACGGATCTCAAGGTTTCCATTGAATTGGATTGCCTAAAAAAATAGTTTATAAAACTCATCCCATGAATGGCCAGACTCATTAATTAAATCTTTAAATCAAGTCACAGCTCTCCTTCTTAGGACGGATAACTTTCTAGGACATGTCTTTGCTTCCTTCACATCCCTAAACATTGTTCGATATCAAAATATATATTTTATCCTTTGACATCATCATTATAAAATCACTCTATTATAAATATCTTTTATATTTTAAATTCTATTACTATATTGGACTCTTCTCGTCAGGTAAAGTTTAAGGCTTAGACCAAATGGAAAGAAAAATAAACGAATTAATAAATAAAACATCAAAATAAAAATAAATAATTATTTAATCCATTTAAATAAATATAAATATTGTTATTCTATTTCTTAATGAAAAAGAAACAATATTAAAATTCTATAACTTTTCCTATCTTGAAAAACTCTAGAGTTTTTTTAACTTTGACCAAAAACGAAAAGCAAACAAAAAAAATCCATGCGGCCCAAAATATGAAAAAGAAACGGAAACTTAGGTGTACTCCACGTTCTATAAATGAAAACCGCGTCTCACTCACATTGTATTTAAGTCTCTCATAGTCATACCTAACCAACCAGTAACAACACCACCACCAAAATGGGCACAGCTACCTGCGTCGATATCATTGTTGCCATCCTCCTTCCACCTCTCGGCGTCTTCCTCAAATTTGGCTGCAAAGTAAGTTATATCTCTTTTCTTCATTTTCCTTTATATCTCTCTATGCTGATTTTTCATGCTTAATTGTTTGGTTCTTGTGAATATAGGTTGAGTTCTGGCTCTGTTTGGTGCTCACTCTCTTAGGTTATCTTCCTGGAATTCTATATGCCATCTATGCTATCACTAAGGATCAATCATGATCATCTTCTATGTAAGCATCTTTTTCCTCTATACAAGCTTTCTAGTTTTTAAAAAACGGTCATGATCGTGTTGCGGTTGCGTAAAGGCCTTCGAGATTTTAACTGATACAACTCGTCGGAACACTCATTGTTATCGTCGCGGTGGCAGATTGTTTTTTAAAACCTTTTTAGCTTGTTCTGAGTTTTTATTATCTGCAAATTTGAGTGTTGTGTTTCTTAGATCCAATTAATTTTATTTGATGCGTAATAAACAAAAACTAGTATAATTTTGAGTAAGTTGAATTATTTGGACAAGGAAGGAAATATAAAAAAGGAACAAATGATGCTAAATAATTGTGATGTTTTATCTTGCTTTTTGCCTTTGTTTTGTTAATAATTAATTTCCGTGAAAATATTGAATGTTTTTTTTTTGGACAGGTGGATCGTGAAAATAGTTTTCAGAGGCGTCATTGCTGTATTTCGATTTAGATATATTGGTTTCGTTTCGTGTAATAGTTGTTCATTCATGATGGACAAAATTTATTCTTCTTTTATTTTTTAATAATAATAATAATAATAATAATAATAATAATAATAATAATAATAATAATAGTTTCCGTGACAATAGTCCTTCTCTTGTTTCGCTTTACTGTTTTTTACTTAAGTTTTTGTCTTATGTGAAAAACGAATGTGTGAAACTTGTGAACTCAAAAAATGGTGGTCGATTTGGACTACAACATAGTGATAGTACAAATTGGCTCAATAAATTTGTTCATATATTCTTTACTATAATATTATTACTATTGGATTCCCACCATGTTTTGTTTTGCTGTAATGCACCCACTACAACCTATGAGGGAGGTGGACCCTAAAATACAATTATGCAAAAAAGCTAGTAATTGAACCTGAATTGAAGACGTTAGTAACAAGGTAGGCCAGAGTTTGTAACTACTCGCTCGGATGGTCAAATTAGGTTTATATAAATAAAAAATTAAACATGGATGAGGTGGATGGATAATCTTCGCACACAAGGGTACAAATACAATGCACCTACATCCATTATTACCCAACTCGGCATATCTCATCAGATTAGAGGATAAACCAATAAAACACCTTATTAGTGCTATATGCCAACACTTTAAAGTGCTATTGCGACATACTAATAAAACATAATAAATTTAATCCGGAAGTTAATAAGAAAAATCTGTTTTTGATTAAGTTTGAATTTATGTTTGGATTTTCTTCAATTATAAAATATAGAAATTGATCGAGTAACGAGAACACTAGTAATCACTTCCAATTCGTCTCCGAATACACCTGTTTATTTTATATATATATTATTATTTATTTTTGATAATTTAAAATATTAAATATGTAATCAATGTTTCGATAATTTATTTTGTATTTATTATTTAAAATGTTTGAAATATATGTATGTAATTTTTTGAGATTATTTTATTTTATTATTTATAATGTAATTTAATTTTAGAAAAAATAAATATTTTTATTAAAAAAATTGGTTTTACTAAATAGGTGGTGGTGGAGCGGAGATACTTGAATTCAACCCGAACCCGTTTGGGACAATTTTGGATTTTAATTCTCCATCCCCGTTTGAGTTTGGGGCGGGGAACGAAAATTGTTTAGGAATTCAGATTTGGGTTTGGGGGAGGTAAAAACCGTCCCCGGCCCGTCCTGTTGCCATACCTATATACATCCCAGGAAAATACGATGGTCGATTTATCCAAATGACTTTTCCTTAAGCATTTCACTCCTATGGGCTTTATGTTTGGGAGTTGTATACATTCTAGAAAATTAAGGTGAGTCGGGTTATGGTTGTAATCGAGGTTAGCACAACCCATGTTCTGAATTTGGTGTAACGAAGGCTGCCCTAGGCGAGATATGAGCGGGCAAACATTTATGGAGCATTATCATATGACATCAACACATTTAAGTGTGTCTCTCAAGTGTAATAAGTGTCGAATCAACGGCCAAGAATGTCAATTATGCTGATTATTGGCATTCATAGCCTTTGCCTTGGATCATGCAATCGAGAGTTAATATAAAAGAGGGACATATCAACCGGAAAAGACAAACTCAATTTTTTAGAGCGTAGTTACTCACTGTACATACATCAGAAGAGTAATCAATTGGTGTCCTTACGTGAATATTGGGCGCCCACCATGGGGCCGCGCATAACTCTTTGAACCATCGATTTCATCGATCAACCAACAACAGTAATCAAGGGTCGTAGGCTACTATGGCGAAACTACTCAGCACCGTGGAAGATCTGCATCGTTAGAACGAACTTTTTCAGGACAATGTACTCATGTTACAGCAAAATCAACACCAACCCTAACCTGAAGATGAAGAATTGGAGGATCTGGTCGACCCACAATCTCTAACGCAAAAAATTTGGAATTATCAAGTCTCAGATAATTTCAAGCCATCTTCATTGGCAACCTTTGATGGAAAGATTGATCCTTAAGAGTATATCATAAGGTTCAGCACTCAAATGACCATCATTGATACCACTAACTTAATAAAATGCAAGCTGATGAAGGACACGGTGAAGAATGTCGCTTTACGATGGTACACGAGCCTTCTAAGGTTCTCTGTGACCATTTATCAAGACTTGCTTAGGAAAATTATCCATCATTTTTCTGCCAGCAATTATAGAAAGGTGCCAACCATAAGTTTCTTCAATGTTCGTCAGGGACACACCGAGTCACTACGAGAATACCTAGCTCACTTTAACAAAGAAACCATCAAATTCACCCTCCTAATCAAGAGATGTGCGTGTGAGCCTTCCATAACGGCCTTAAGGCGAGACATTTTAATGAGTCCCTAGAGCAGAAGCTTGCAGCATCTATGATCGCACCACGGCGCGTGCAAAATGATACATTAAAGGTAAGAAGAGTAACACATAAAAAAGAATAAGGGGTGCAAAGGAGAGGGATATCAAAATAAAAAACGGAAGGGCGGAGAAAACAATAGAACCCAACGCTTGTACAATAAGAAGTAATATTCGAGCCCAATCGAAAAGTATGAGTATTTCACCCTGTTGAATATAAGGCGTGAGTGAATTTTGCAAGAAGTCTGCCATGCAAAGATCATTCCTGATTCAAACTCGTCCAAGGGCAACGTGATGGGAATGGACACTGACAAATGATGCGAGTACTGTGGAACTACTTACTTGCAAGTGTAAAGTGATTAAATCTCATAAAAAAGAAAGATATGTTTGACCCTGATAACATTGTGGCTCTTATGATGACAACACATGAAGATAAACAAGTGTTAATGCTAGTTTAAGCGGTCATAAATGCACAAGATGGTTAATCAATCTATTCCTCCAAATCAAGCTAAAATATATGGTTTTATGATCACTAGTTCTTTCCTATGATGATGTGTGTAAATTTAAAATATCTCAAGCCTGATACACAAAAATATTCAAGTGAAGTGCTTATGTGATTGGTATATCTGAAAAAATACCTTAAGCTTAAAAGTGAGAAAGAGAGAAAGTGTAAAAGCTCGTTCGATTGTGTCTAGGTGAGTGATCAGTGTTGTGTAAAAATACAAGGGTATTTTTGGAAGTAGAAAGGCTAAGTCACACACACACACACTAAAAACATCTTTGAAGCCTATATTTTCCAAATAAAGACACCTAAAATATTTTTGGAGCCTATCTAGATGACATTTTTGAATTGCCTAATCAATTAGACCAAATTCCTAACCAATTATATAAGAGTGAAACAAGCTTATAATCAATTGTGAAAACGTTTTAATGAATGATAACGACTCTCTATCAAAACCTTTTATTTTGGGAAGTACTAATTGATTATTTATCGTACATAATTGATTAAACTTAAGACCTAATCGATTAGGTGAGTTAATTTGGCCATGGAATTATTTCATTTTCGAACCATCCTTTGACCTATAAATAGAGGCATTGCCCTTCATTTCTAAATATCTAAAAAGTTTGATATATCTCATCTTCCTCTCCCCAAATCTCTCTCTAAATTAATTTTCTTTCTCTCACATATTTTTAACCATAACGCTTTGAGAAACGTTATTGAGTTTAGTGAGGAAGTTGTTATTTTTAGGGGTGTTATTGTAAATTCACCAAGGACTCTTCTTCCTCTTGAGTGAATCATTCTTTCTTAGGAATAAACTGTCTAGGTTTGAAGTTAAACATGTGAAAAGTGAAGGTTGAGAAAAACACAAGAAATGAGGGTTTGAATTGAGTTTTCAAAAACTTTTTTCTTTAGAAATTCTTCACTAAAAAAATTAAGATGAACAAGCTAAGGAAGAAAAGTGATACAATCAATTTATACAAGTTCACCTTAAACAAGGCTACTCTTGTCCACCCGCCAAGGTGATTTCTCCTTCGAAAAGGACTTAATCCATTAATATTGAAAGATTACAAACAAACATATAAGAGTTTAGAAAAACACCTTAGCCCTCTCAAGTATATAGACTCACCTAGTCACTTGAGGAAAACAAATCTCAAAAGATTTACAATCAAAAGTGTTTACAATAGTGCTTCTAGAAAAGCAGATTTAACACTTACAATTAAGAACAAATGTTTTCCCAAATATGAGGTAACAAATATTTGTGTTTACAATAAGAATGGAGAATAACTTTTAACACAAATATGAGCCACAAGTCTTTGTGTTTTTCTTGAGAATAAATGTTAACACAAAAATGAGCAACAACTCTTTGTATTTTCTCTTGAAAGAATATTTTCTCACTTGAATATTTTGCACAGTAGATTTCCTTTGTCATTTCAATATTCTTTGATTTTTTGTTCAAATTCGTCAGCTTCTTCAATGAAATATTTCCCTTTATATAGGATAAGAAAGTAGACTGTTGGATAGTGCAAAATGTCACTTTCATTTGCCAACTGCCACAACGGTAGCATGTGATCATGGTAGACAAATTTCTTTGGTCGTACAATGTATTCTTCACTATTGTGGAATATGTATAATATTGTTGAACTAATTCTTATTGTGCAAGTTTTCTTAATCTTATCTTCTAATGAAGCACTTCTGATCTAAAGTAAAAATGAAGAGTCCAGAAGAGATCACATTCTTATTCTTAGTATTCTGATGGATTATTTATGATGTGAAATGATTATTAATCTAGAAGATGTTTCATTGTAATAATGTTTCCAAAAAGTATCAGAGTCTTCAGAATCATAACCTTGTCTTTATACTTGGAGCAAAAGCTTATCTGACAAACAACTCTTGATTTCTGAGGTAGAAGCGAAAGCTTATCTGAGAAGCACATCTTGATTTCTGATCTTTGAAGCATAAGCTTAATTTTTTTATCTTTGAAGCACTTGGAGATCCTTTTCTAGCGAACATTCAACATTCATCAGAAATGTTGATGTTTCTTTAGAAGTGGATGCAATAGTACTTTCTTAGGCATGTCAGCAGAGATTCTAGTGATCTTATCCAAAATTACATAGAATATTATATCTTCACACTCAAGAAACTATTAGAGTACAAAATTGTTACATATAAAATATATGTATTGTTATCATCAAAACTATATATTATACGCATAATCAAATCTTGTTCTAACATTATCTCCCTTTTTGGTGATGACAAAATCATGTATTTTGATGGAACAATTTTACAATGTTATATCATAAAAAATATCAGAGATAGTTTAGAAAAACTCTCCCTGGGATAAACAAACCCCCCTGAGTCAAAGACTTATAGCATTTAGAGATTAAGGGATGTCTGAGCATTGTTAACTTGTCAGAGCCTGCTTTGATCATAAAATATACTTATCAGAGCTTAATGTGGATATGCTTATTTGAGCTTTATTTATCAGAACCTTCTAAATAATAGAAGTTGATTTATCAAAACCTTCTAAACAATAGAAGTTCTATATCTGAGCTAGATCCATTTTCTTATCAGTGTGTTCTTAAAACATCATTCTAAACATTCTTGCATATATATTTTGTTAGAATATAAGCATTGGGATTTAGAGAATTAGATATATCAAAATCATCACTATTTCTCCCCCTTTTTGTCATAATAAAAAAGATTAAAATATTTTTTTTTAGAAGCATCAATTG